GTTGCTGCAAGTCTATAAAAATTCTTAGCCGTATTTCGCCCGTAAAAAATTAGGTTACTGGTTCGAGGTTTTAAAGCTGTACTTTTTGTTTTATGTTCCTTGAATTATACATTAATGTGCTTGTGAATTTTGTGAGTTTTGGGGGAAAAATCTGTAGCAATGAGATTTTTATATTATATACATAACTATTTACATAAGTCATTATGGCGTCGTACATGCGGAGGCATGCTTCTATATATGTACATATGTCGAGCCTTCACCATACACGTCCGATACATCTATATTTGGTAATCTCCCAAACATATCTATTTTCAATGCGATGTTAGTTTTGGTAATTTTATGAGGCCTTCCATTAATTTCAATTTTCGGCGTATCGGAGGACAACTGCATTTAGTTCCACTTTATTGCAAAAATCTAATTTAACTTAACGAATTTTATGTTTTCCTTATTGATTTTAAGACCAAAATATACATGTTTACGTTGTTAACTAACACTAGTTAGTAGAGTAATATTTACTTACATACACAAAATTTAATATTCCAAAATAAAATTAGTGAAGTGTGAATACCGAGGATTTCGTACCATCATACAATAATATGATATATATGTTTATGATACGATTTACTAATAAAATCTAATATATTTAAACGAGCAATTCTTGTATATTTATTTATTTATTTATACCGGCGATCTCGGAAACGGCTCGAACGATTTCGCTGAAATTTGGTTTGTGGGGGTTTTCGGGGGCGAAAAGTCGTTCTAAATTAGTCTCATGTCTGGGAAAGCGCGTGTTTTCGAGTTTTCATGCGGTTTTCTTTCGCATGCTCGGGCTAAAGCGTCGTGGTCTGCTTGACAAGACGCAAGATTTTTAATCACAGGGTTCGATTCCGGTCGGATACAAAGTTTAGTTATTTTAGTTTTGTGTTTTTGGATTTATTCAAGTTTTTAGTTTTTTTTTTATGACAAAGAAGAACTCCGAGCGAAGCTCGGTCGCCCAGGTACTAGGACTATATCGTATAAGTACAGTGCTTGAATCTGTAGTCAAGTTCTCTAACTTAGCAATCATGGAAGTAATACTTCGTTTGGCACGTTTGGAAAAAATTATTAAAGTTCAATTTTAAATTTTTACGATGCGCGCGCACCCCGACAGCCAAAAAGCGACACGATGAAATTAGTTGCATTCCTTTTTCAAATAGAGAGTTGTAACATACGGATTGAAATGTTTAGGTATTTTTGTTCTGTTACGCCAAAGAAGTATAACTTCTTACGTAGGTACATAAGTACACACACATGTTTTTTTTATTATTAGATGCTTTAGGATTTTGATTATAATTATATCAAGTTTGACTTTTGTGACTATTATTATAATAAACGAATAAGGTAGACTTACTAAAATGATTGCAAATGGGCCCATTGTCCTAAAAAATGAACCAAATTTTACTGGTTTTCTAAATGATTTGTACACCTACACTTTAGAAGTCTACATCAAAGTCGGCTAAGATAACTAAACTATTAAAACCCACCATTCATATCAAACGACAAATCTTTACCAAGTTGCAGTGCCCTTTACCTGTCCGCGTGAGCAAATTGCAAAACAACAATATATGTAGGTACTTTATCATATTGCAACCGGAATTGCTTTGTATTCTAGAATATTCTAATGTACTTAAAACCTCACGGCTCACTTATTTCAGCGTATAACTTGTTCTGAAAATTTAATGTCCCACTGCTGGGCACGGGCTTCCCTTCAATGAGAGGAGGATCAGGCCATAGTCCACAATGCTGGCTAAGTGCGAACCTCACATCTCTTTCGAAAACTGGCTAGGCTTGCTCTCGAACATGCAGGTTTCCTCACGATAGTACCTATATAAAATAAAAATTAAGATAAATATTTTTTTTATTTAATAAAATTAATTTTAGTTTAGGTATTCTAAACTTATTTTATAAAACTTCAAGTCTTTAATAGTTGTATCTAATAATAATTGTTAGATATAGAACAGGCTTACTTAATTTGTTTATGGTTATTATAGCACACGCCTACACCATTGTTAGGTAGTGTTTGAAATAAATATGTTGTGATAGTTCCAAGGCTACGCCTGATGCATGATAATATATTAAGACTGGTGTAAGGCGGGCTTAAGCCCGACGGTTGCAAAGTCCGCTAGCTTACATGGCCTTTATCTTGCTTTAAAATCTACGTTAATTAAGATTAACACGAAACAGTATTAGTACATTGTACAAAGAATTTATTTATGAAACAATGGTGTTATTATAGGGGGTAGAGTTAAGTTAAAGAGAATATTTGTTAAGTAAGAAAAAAATTATCGCTTTATCCAGGTGGAAATATTTGAGGGAGCACTCGCCACTTTTTACAATTTGCTGGATGAGCACTACGAAGCTCCACTCCACTCATATATTGTGATTATTAAAAAAAATATGTCTATTTGTTTACTGTATTATACAAACTTTTCTCTACATATATATAAATTGTCTTAGGATATATTAATTTTGGACCCATAGACGAGTGCCTGATAACCTATCTCTATGCCTAATAATAGGCACGGAGGTAGGTCTTACAATTATCAGTATATTTGCTCATTTAAACATCTAAAATAGGTGTGTGTGTACTTAAAACTTTATTCTTCACAGTTTAAATATATTTGTTGATTTATTACAAAACCACATAGCACAAAAACCAGACCTGTAATATTGCAATAGCAAACCGCATTTACATTCGTGTCTTTCATATCAAATGACAAATCTGAAACAAATTGCACAGTCTTACGTGTTTGCCAGAAATGCAGTAGACGAGTAGACTTAGAGTCAATATTTTTTTTCCTTCCAATTAGAAATCCTACAGTTGATTTTTTCTTTATAATTACTAAGTTTCTCAGGTTAGTACTGTATTTAATTACTTATGTCCACTTATGATATAAGTAATTTTCGTTATAAATGATGCCACTCCTAAAAATGTAGTTTTTTAATATTCATATAAAACCTATTATCCACTAAACTAAATTTAAACGTACATTTCGTTTTATATTTTCAACTATAGATAGATTTTGGCTTCGTTTGCGTAGTTCTGTTTATGTTATAACTAGCGACTTAGCCTGGCTTTGCTTCGGGTTCGTTTCTAGACAAAAACCCACAGGAACCTTACATTTTTCGGGGTGATATCTATTAGGGTATTGCCTTTCTCAATAAATGGGTTATCTAATGCAAAAATAATTTTTCAAATCGGATAAGTAGTTCTTAAAGTTAGCGCGTTCAAACAAACAAATAAATAAACTGTCTCTTTATAACATTAGTAAAGATTGTTATATTTCGGAAATGATGTTAGATGGCCTAAATAAAATGCCTAAACTTGCTCAATAAATAGTCCCAGACTGGTTACTTATAAAGATTAACAAATTCAAATAAACAAAGAGACAAACTCTTCAGTTTCATACGATATATAGATTAGGTGACGTATCGACACCATACCCGCTAATGGAAAAATACATATTGTATGTTGGTGGCGATATATTCAATAGACATAGAATCAAACATCAATTATTATTCCGTCTTTTGACTTGAAATAAGCTGATACATCTATACATATAATAAAATTGTAACTAAGTCGAATCTGTACATTAAATATTTTTTGGAAAATCTTATTGAAATAGACATTATTATCGATACAGAGACCAAATCTATAGTTTTTAGAATTTTTGTCTGTCTATCTGTCTGTTACCGCATCACAGAAAAACCACTGGAGAGATTTTGATGAAATTTGGTATGGTGATAGCTGGTTATCCGGGTCAGCATATAAGATACTTTTTATATAAATATCTAATTTCTGAGAAAAAAAAACTCTTAGTATACTAATATGTAAAACCTAAGAATTCGGTTTTTGGTCATAGGAACGCGGGCGGGGCTGGGGGCATGCTAGTTAATTAAATAAGTCTATCTATATGATCTAAGACTATTTTGATCTCACTTTGTTCCGCCTACACTATGTAATCTGGACAAACTACATCCCACTTAAAACAGTCAGTGCCTCATATTGGTTAATTTATTTCGCCAATAAATTAGTCCACCGTTGCTGATGTAAAATAATAGATATAGATCTTTATACATTTATACAATTATAGTAATTGTACAAGGTTCTCTCTAGAATTACTTCAAAATACGCAACTTTCCTGAATGCCTCGTATTGGTTAATTTATTTCATCAATTTAGTCCACCATTGCTGATGTAAAATAATAGAATGTTTATACATTTAAAAAATAATGTAGTAATTGTTTAAAGTTCTCTAGAACTACTTCAAAATACGCAATTTTCCCACATAACACATAGTACCTGGGCTACCGAGCTTCGCTCGGAGTTTTTGGCCTAAAGTACATTTTTTTTTTTAAATATCGACCATATTTTCTTTCGTGGAATAATGCGAAAGAAAAACGCATGAAAATTCGAAAACACGCGTTTTCCTAGACATAAGATTAATTTAGATCGATTTATTGCCCCCGAAACCACCTGTATACTGAATTTCACGCAAATCGTTGGAGCCGTTTCCGAGATTCAGATTATATATTTATATATAGTATACAAGAATTGCTCGTTTAAATATATTAGATAGATAGATAGATAGATTATATGATATAGCTCGAATATATAGCGACATATACTATAGATCATAACCATACAAGAAAAACGTATTTACTATAATTACGTATAAAAGAACTACATTATTTCATTAGGCAATTACAGCAACGGGTCTATCTTATATTTTATTTACATTTACAACTCCTACACCAACTATCCATATGTAGCTGATCACTAATTAAAGACGTCCATTACTTCGATACTTTTTCCATTTTGCTACATTCAATTCTGATAAAGAAACGAATTTGGTGGGTGTTAATGCATTCAGGCTAGCAGTCGATGCAAATTAGTCAGTAAATTGGAAATGGCGCCTAATAGCAAACTTGTTTAAGTGCATTGCAAATAAAATTAAGGAAATGCATAAAACCACAGGTCATTGCTCGATTAATCTAGTTGGAGGATTGATTTACATAAATTATCAATTTTGTGAGAAATAATATTGTTGATGAAAAATTTCTGAGATGATATGGCGAAAAAAAAACACTTAAAGACATGATTTATATCTCCACTCTTATGACTTTATACTTGCACTATTTCTATCTTTGTTTGGTTTAAATAAGCAACAATATTGTTCCTAAAATCTTGATAAAACAATCTAAAGCTCGTAACAACATAAGTTACGTTTTATCGATAGTAGTCATAAATTCACTAGACTATCGATACTCCAGATACTGTAGCAAAGCATTTTGAAAGATTTGAATGTATTTCAACATACATATGAGTATGTTCGTAAATCACCAACCATTTCCCACACAACGGCCATTATTACTGATCTCGAGTTTATGTTATGACCTGTCCAAGGTTATACATACATATATCTATGCATTGTTAGACAAACCTTTACGCCATAAGTGTGGAAACGATTGTTAGTAAGAGAAACTACGATTTAAGTATCCGCTATAAAAAAATATTTTACACTATCGACTCACCCTCGCTTCGCTCGGGATCGCCCCTAGGTACGTTTTAATTTTTTTGAGCGGAACGTTAATTCTTTTTCTAAAATAAAAGTAGCCTATGTTACTCCCTATAGCATCCACTATCTTCTAGTAAAAGTCCCGTCAAAATCAGTCCAGCTGCTTTAGAGATTATCCGGAGCAAACAAACAGACAGACAAAAATTTAAAAATTGACTTTTTCTTATAAGTACCGTATATAATTTCAAATGCATTTAGTAAAGCGCTGTTATTTTGACATTACAAACAGACACTTCAATTTTATTTATCTGTATAGATAAAATAATGTATACGTACTAATATTTTTTTTAATTGCGGTATTATTATTACTTACAAGAACGAAAATACAAGAAAAACATCCTTGTTTAAAAATGCTTGCCACACGGTCGTAGAGCTATAATTTATATGGCGCGCGTAGAGATAGCTCTCTTTCTCTTGCGAAATTATGTATTAATGATAACAGAAAATAAAACTATATGTTATATACTTGTTTACAATATAATAAAAAAATATATATTTAAATTATATTGTAAACAAGTAAATTATTTATTGTAAGCGGTCAGTTAAATTATCGAAGTACAAGCAAAACGAGTCAAATTATTAAAAACGTGAATAGCCCTTAAATTGGCAGCCATGATTTTTTGATTGAAATATTTACATTTACACGGTGCAGCGATTTATTATTTCGCTATGGGAGATATGTTTTTAGTTAGCTATTAACAGGTATTAATAATAACCATTGTTTATGGGTACTTACTTACATATGCCTTTGTTATCTAGTGTTTAACGGTAAAATATTACATCATGTTGTTTAATGTACTGATTACTGCTTTACCATTCCTACTTAAAATATTTAATAATATAAATAAATAATAATGAATAATTGTTATAAATATAAATTAATAATATAATATAAATAGTTTTTTGTTTATAATGCACATTTTAGTTATAAAATCTTATTATTGCCTTTTACCAATCATAGTTCTACTTTTAAATAAATCTTGCTAGTGTACTTAAATAAAGTGTCAAAATTAAAGTAACTTAAGTATTTTTTTTATAATCTCTACTTTATTGCACGTTATTAACTAAAAAGTGCGCGAGAGTCGGCTGCTGCTCTAAATCCCACACTCCTCGTGATCTTTAGATGTAATTAATAACGAAAATGTACTTTTATGCGCAGTTACTAAAAAAAATAATTAAAAAATAGCTCTAAATTTTTTATATACTATTGGTATGCATAATTATAATTTATAACTAATCATTTTCTCTCTTAAGTAATTTTCTATTTGGCTTAAAATTGTGTTGATCAAACATAATTAACATTTTTCAATGACACTATATTCAAATTTAATATTAGTTAACTGTCCAGTTTATGAAGCTATGTAAATATAATAAAATTATTAAAGATAAGTAAATATATTTCGATACTGCGAGTAAATAATGTAAGGTGAGGTTTAATCAGTTTGGTGAGTTTAAGAGAATGCAACATAGTAATACGACTATAGTCAGGTTCGTTATCTACAAGGCCGGTGGTGCAATTGTTCTAAATATCTCTTTGAGTACAGCTATTAACAGCACGCTCTTGATTAAACAAACGGTTTTATAAGTATTTTGGTAATAATGCACCGACAACATTAAAATTATTAACGGTCTATAGTCTGAAAAACCTCTCGTACATTAAATTTAATTTAAATGCCTTTGCTTTGTTTTCCTTACCAAATAATTTTTCTTTACAGAATGTTTCGGCGCACACGATCGTTCCCGGCATCGCTCTGGTCCGATAAGAAGCGTTCCGGTTGCGGCCAATATTAAGAGGGAAGTTGACTTTGACTGTCCTGAAGAGTTTGGATATTATCCTCATCCCACCGACTGCACGCTGTATTACGTTTGCGTTTTCGGCGGCGCTTTGCTCGAATCTTGCACTGGTGGCCTTATGTACAGGTAAATAAATATAAACCTAATATAAACCTTTTTTTTTTTTTTTTTAACGTTGGGAAATGCATTTACGCACGACGTGTGGGACTCACCGGCGTAATACAGCCAGTACTACCCACTAAAACCCAACAAAGTCTTCCCCCGTCTTAATGGGGCGTCGCAGGATCGCTTACGCATTCAACTACGACGCCCCGACGGCAGGTCTGCCGAAGCAGACCACCACAACCATGGGGCTGCTCCAAGGTCCACTCTGCTATCAGAGAAGTACCAGGAGCAACCCACATGGTACACCGCCCCCCGAATAGGGCCACCTCCCACCGCCCACCGAAGTGGGCAACCTCCCTGTGCGTTTCTTAGCTTCGTTACTACTACTGAGCCCCCCCACCACGACAAGGTGAACGCACGTTGGGGGGGAAACCTAATATAAACCTAAATGATCAAGATCTAACTTTCTAATAAATATAAGTTTCACGGCTTCTTCTGCACGCTTCCTTAGATAAAGATTTAATCTACCGTGTTAGCTTTCATCGGTCTTCAGCGCGGAAATTCCCCACTAAAATGTATATATCCGCTGAAATATATAATATTATATTTTTAAGTAAAAGTCCTATTAAAGTAGGTTCGACTGTTTCGTATAGCAAATATAAACAGAAAAACAAATCGAAAAACGAAAAAATTAAACAGCAACCAATTATCTAGCTTAGACTAAAATACAGCATTACGAAGACAATCTACGATATCTAATAATTATGTAAACTAGTTTTTGTTCGTGACTCCGCTCATTTGGTAGATACGTCTATGAAAAGTTGTCTATATTGTTGTTCAAGATATTCTGAATTTCTGAAGAGACTCTGAATTTCATTTAAATCCGTTGAACCATTACAACGTGAGAATTAATAAACATACTAACTCATAAACTTTACTTAAATTTTACAGCCACGAGCTGCAAACATGTGATTGGCCGCGTAATGTGGGCTGCGATGCCACCGGTGCAGTGGTTAGGGAAGATCTAGAGAGGTTGAACGAGAGGGAGCCCCCGCCGCCGCCTCCACGTCGCAACCCACCACCACCGCCAAGGGCGCAGCCCAATCCAGTCATCACTTCGCGAGGACAACCTAAATTTAATCGTCAGGAATACGAAAAGGTAATATATTATATCGAAAATATGATAAAAATATGAGTTCTTTTCTTGTAATAAGACCGTAAATACTAATGAGATCGAGCTAAATTTAAATACTCCTTCATTTAAAAAATATCATATCAAAGCTTATAATATATATACATGCCACGGTTAAAAAAATAAAATGTTTCTTAATTTCTGTTTAGTTAAACGGATAACTCTTAATCCTCTTACTACAATTAAAAAAGGAAATTTATAAAATAAAAAATAATTGAAAAAACCGATAATTTCAGCAACAGCAGTTGTATGCCGAAGTGGATGACTTACCACCAGTTGAAGAACTCGAGAACGACCGTCAACAAAGAGTATATAGAGGTCAACCTTCCACAATTGGACAAGTTCAAAAGGACAGAGATGGATACGGATCTCAGTCCATAAGTTCTGGAAGAACACTTAATTCAAATATTATACCTTCTTCGATTAATCAAAATAGTAAAATCGGATCATTCTCATTTGGAACTCAAGTTGACGATAGAAGAACAGCTACTGTAACTCCAGCGCCTCAAACCTACAGGTAAAGCTTCTACTACACTAATTGGAATAAAATATTAAGTGTTTTGTCTCAAGATTTATTAATTACAATATTGACTGTGTGATTTCAGAGGAGATAGACATGACGATACTGACCCTTTTGACAGACCTAGAGACTTTTCGACTGATAAACATAAAAGTAACGACATAGATAACAATATTCTATCAAGAAAAAAAAGGGATATAGAAGAACCCGCTTCAAATGTATCTAAGGTTCCAGATGAATTATCTAAACGGAATGATAACGATCATGTTATGGAATACATAGAATTTGATGAAACACCAAATCAGGATGAAAGTGATGAAGAAATTTTGGACGAATCTGAAAGAGGAAAAAGACAAATTCGATTTTATGTCAAAAACGGCTTTAAGACATCTCAGAAGAATCGACCTATCTCTAAACCAATAAAACTAGTCCATCTGCAGCAATATACTTATAACCCGAACATTCAAAACCAAAGACAGCCGATATATAGTGGTCAATATTATAATGCTGGACAAAGTCAGAAACCTTCTTTTGACAATATTTTTTATTCAACTCCTAATACATTTTCATCATATCAATTTGAAAATTCTCCATCTTTTAAACCGTTCAAAGCAAGTTTACCTGACCCTTCTAACCAAAAAGTCATCCAAATGAGTGGAGCATCCCAAATAATAACAAAGAGTCCCCCTATATCATCATTAAATAGTAATCAAAATCCATTTTCAGCATTGTCGGGTGGTTTTTATAATAATGCTGTCAAAGGAAGTGATAATGGAAACAGTAATAGCTTACAGAAGCAAATAGTATCTACTACGAGACGACCAAATATAGTTTCGTTTCCAGATTCCTTTCAACTTTCTAGTGCAATAGTTACTGGTAAACCAGTCTTGGCCACATCTTCAATAAGAACTCCAAATAATTATCAGGAAAACCAGCTTAAAACTCCAAATCAAGCTAATAAAGTACCGAATAAGCAAATCGAACAAGAATACGACGATGATGATGGTGATGATGACGATGAAACGTCTTCAGAAGAAAATGGGAATTCTTCAGAAGAAGATAATAAACACACAAGCTATAATTTCCAGCCAGACGATTCAAGTCTCCCATATGAATATACACACCCTAGCAATAAATTTGCTAATATAGATAATCCCTTTGCTAGCCCCAATTTTAATTTTGATGATTTTTTGGCTAAATTGCAACAGGATCACTATTCCGCGGTCGCCAGTACAACACAAAAACCAAAATCTAAGCATAAGACCACTTCTAAAATTGTAACAGCATCACCTACAGATAATAGTTTATATTCAGCTACTTACAAAGGAATAAGTACTCCCAAGCCTTTTACAATGCCGATTGAATTTAGCAGTGTAGGTCCTGTACAAAAAAACTCATTACCCAATCAGCCACAACAGCAACATCAGAATCATATTCAAAGACCTCAAAATTATCAATCTCATCAGTCACCTTTAAATCAAAATATTTATAATGTACCAGCGCAAAAAGATGCTACAATACCATTAGAAACTTTACTGCCTAAACTTAAACCTCCAAATTTTAAAGATGATCGACAGCTTCCAATAACTTATAATTTTAATTCTCCAAAAGACATTTTTTCTTACTCTAGACATCCAGACTTATCTCAGCAGTCACAAACAGTTACACCAAGACCTTATTCAATAACAGCTGGTACAAATGCACCAGCTTATTATTCCACAACACAGAATAACAAAATAAATGCACAATATTTAGATTATTTGCCTAGTAACAAACCTTACTTGTCTTCTACTGCTGAACCACTCAATGCCCTTATTTCAGCTTTTACACATTCAACATCAAAACCATTATCAACAATAGCAAATGAACAATTTGCTTTACAAAATTTCTGGAACAAACCTTCTCCTGACTTTTCTGTTACAACACCATCACTGTACAGGCAAAGCGTAGTTACAGAAGTTTCAAAACATAACAACTTACGTTCCTCACAATTATCTACGTCTACGTCTCCACCTAAACGTAAGCCAATACCAAAACCTTCACCTGAAATGAATGATTATTATTATGATGAAGAAGACGAATATTATTATGAGCCTATTGTTAAGCCAAAGTATATGCCGAGTTCTGAAGTGAAGCCTCAACGGCCCCCAATGGCTCAGAATTATCATGAATATGAAGATGCAGATAATCAACGTCGTCCATCACACACAAAAGGTCCATCGACTCAAAAACCTGAAAAATATAATATTTATAAACAAGAGACCGTTACCAAGAACCACAATGATGTGTCTGTTGTTACCAAAATACCGTATAAATCACAATTGAATAAAAATATTCCTGTGCCAGTAATGGTTGACATTAGTCGTCCTAATTCAGTTCTGATGCGCCCTGAAGTTTCTAGTTACCAAATTGTTCACAACACTCCTCGTAATAGAACTGTTCATATTCGTAAGCCAATTAATGTGGAAAGCAATCCTAACACATTAAAACCTCCTAAATATCTAAATCAGACAACTTTACGCCCATATACGGTTAGGCATAGATTAGCTAAGCCGACTGAAAAAGGAATATCTAATGACGAAGAAGAGAATAAAAAGAATAGAGGGAGAGTACGTCATCATAATATAGTTGCTCAATTAAAGCATACTACACCTCGTGACAATTTTAAACAGGAGACTCGAATTACAAAGACTGATCATGACGATAGAACTAACAGGTAATTTCGCGCAACCTAACTGCATATCCTTACGCAATTTCAGTGAATGTATTTATTATGGCACATCTGTATATTGCTTTCAGCTCCAAGTACATCTTCTGCGCACACTTTCTATTATTATTTTCTCCAAGAAATATTCTTTTTTTTTACAAGCTGTATATAATTTATCTTCTATTTCTTTGACTAAATTTGCACATGACCTTACTAATATTAATGACATGGACATCAGCAGACTATAATATGACCGACTGTTAATCCTTACCACGGTGAATTGTAATTTAAGATTTTATTATATAAATCTTATGGAAAATATTGTATTTTGTAAGTAAAAACTTTTGTTGTGTTTTGGGGATGACTAAAATATCGAAAAATTATAAAAATATCGAAGTAATACTATATTTTCTATATAACATAATAAAGTTGGTGATTTGGTTTAAAATTTATCTTAGTAATTTATCACTTACCATACAAACAAAAATTTCAGCTTGGAACCTACTGAGAGCATTACTCCGTCTTCATATTCAGCGAGCCCCCGGCCGAAGATGCTGTACAATGGCTCTCAAGCCTACAGTCCCGACCAATACGACCCATATTACGCCGTTTACGATGAGGATGGTGAATTGTACAAGGATACAGGTGAGAAAAATGCCATCCAACATCTGAATTATTATCGAACATGTGGTCAAACTTGTAAAATTATAATACTCTATGTAAAACCGTTCATTTAGACGATGTCATTTTTTAGAAAAACAAGAAATATTTTAAAAAATCCTATATTATAAGGAAGTTGTTACAAAATCACACAAATTGAGATCAATAATTTTACTTTTAGTTCATTAGGTAATTTGTATATAATTATAGTGTCCCCAATCATATTTGTAAATAGGCATGTTTTAGAATTTAATAAATTATTGAATTAACTTAATATGGATTTTTTAACAAATAACAATGTACATTTTGTAATTTATATTGTTAGTTGAAATTTTTCCAAGGTATATGGAATAAAATATTCAAGGTTTATAACCATAAAATGTAAATATATCAATAAATCATTAATATTAAATACGTAATTTTCACATTCTATTCTAACTAAATTCCCCTCTTTCCCTATTTGAAATATACTCGTACTATAAACTTGTTATATTGTGCCACCACTGCATGTGCAACATTAGCTATTACAAACACTGACTACTGAAAATTATTTTCGAAATAAAATGTATCCTGCAACTATATGAAACATATTAAAAATTAATGAAGGTATAAATGTAATATATAAAAGTAATGTCATTTAGCACAATCAATGGTTTTTATGGATAATCTACGTTTTACCTCTTCATAAAAAAATGCACCTAATAAAAAAACCTATAGGACAATATTAATAATTCCTCTTAATGTTTATAATATGAGCATAAATTCGTTTAATAAATTTCAAAATTGGAACTAAGGGGTTTATTTCAAGAACCTTAACCATATCAATTCAAGTATTGATTAACAATAATGCCCTCGAAAACTTTAATAATACATTACTAATGCCGAAGTTAACATCGGCATTTAACAACTAACGGGAGTATGGTACCGGTGTTGGCAGACTATGTGCAGCAATATAACACGGCATCGCTTCGACCAGCAGTCCAGCAGACATATCGCGGTACTCCTCCTCCTGCTCGACGCCCAGTGGAAACGTACACGGCTAGACCATCTCTAGATGAATATGATGATACCCTTATTGAAGGACAGGTATGAATCTCATAACATGTTTTACTAAATCATATTATTGATAAAACTACTTAATTTAAGTTTTTGATCACACGATTATATAGATTCATTGTTACTATTTTACAATAGATACTTATTATTATTTAACTATGTTGCAGATCAACAACCAGAATCAATATGAAACTCCTATTCGCCAACCAACAAGGTAATGTTTCCATATATATATTTTATATTTTCATTAACTATTTAACACTAATATATAAAAAATGGTTTTAAATATTAAATAAATAATCCAGGGGCGAAGGTAACGAATTGGGCTATGATCATATACCAAGCAGCGTGAGGACGACTGTTTACGAAGCTACTTCCCTTCGCACAACTCCCTCTACAACTAGCACAAGCACAACTACTACCACCACTACTACTACCACTACCACTACCACACGACGTCCAACAACTGCACCCTACACCGAAGCTATGACCCCGTCTCGACATTCCCCAAGGTACTACAAAAGAATGATTATACCGTCATTTCATTCATTTTAAATACCATATTATCATCAAGGCTTTATCATATTTCGATACTCATCTTCATAATAAGATATTTTACCATTTATTTCATATTTATATCATTTCATTCATCCTCAAATCAACCTTCAGACTGATTGACTAATGTTGGTTTGGAATTAATTTCATCAGTTTAAAGGTTGTTTCTATGTTAAGAAATTTGTAAATAAGTTTTTTTCTCTGATTCACTTTAGAACTAGCCCCGTATCTTGCCTTATGATATATATGTATATTGTATATATTAAATATCGTAGCCTTTTGTAGTATCTTTTATATTCTATCGTTTATATTGTTTTAACAAAACACCTTCGAATATTTCTATTTTGAAGTTTAAATCCTTAAAAATATGTTATTACTAAGTTTAGTAAACATATTTATTATACATTTTTTCAAGAGCTGAATTTAGAATCATTTCTTTACTTTGTATTCGACAGATCATCAACTGATGAAAATCGTACTCGCGTTCCCGATTCCTCTACAAACCACACATCTATTAATGATTCCACTTCATTAAATCCTTCTACAATATCACCCGTCATAAATATTTCATCCCTTGCTAAACCCTTTGAAAAGACAGATAACTTTTATAGGCTAGACTTACCGTCGACAGAAAAATTACCGACTCGTGTACTACCTTCTCGTGTGACTAACAAAAAAGGTAATATCCCTGTTGCAACAGATCAAGACATTCCAAGTGAAAATAATAAAAAAATGTTATCGTTAACAACTGGTTTTTCGATACGTAGAAATGAGAATAATACAAACAATCCTTATACGTTAACGTTAATTTCAAAACCACTTGAAAATTATTCACCGTCTAGATCAAAAAATATGCGTGTTAATAATAATAAGAAACAACATATACAAAGAATCCAATATGATACCAGTAGTTTTAAAGATTTACCTGAGATAAAAGAAGTAACTGAAACTGTGCATAATAAATATAATGAGAATGCAAAAGATTTAATAAATCCCGAAACAATAGAAGATGAGCATGTTTCTATTTATCTAAGACCACCAATAGAAACATCTACATTTAGATCAAGAACGCGGTCAAGCACTGTTCCATCTAGCACAGATAGCATGAAATATTATTTAAAAACTATTTTGAAACGCCCAGCGTCATTTAGTAATGACGAGTATACCGAAAATAATGATCAAAATGAAGGTATATTGGAACAAAGCAATCAAAATATAACAAATCAAGAACAACTAAATGTAGATCCATCAAACGTTGACAATGACAGTGTCGATGATGCCGAAAATTGGAAGCAAATAGACTTTAATGATAAGTATAACGAACCAACTGTGTCTCCTTATAAAATTTTAGACAACCTCAGAAATAATGAAAAAGATACAATAAGTAAATATGGTTTAGATTTAGAGGTCACATCTACGATTTCTACCACTACTAATAGTTTTCCTTCAACAAAGTCTTTAAATACTTTAAGATCAACAAAGTCTACAACCAAAAAACCTTCTTATTACCTTTACCATGTAGAAGATGATGTAGTAGCTGACCAAACTACAGAAGTACTTAATGGTAAAGTCAGAAATGCTATAAAATCTTTCATCAATAATTTATCAAGTTCTTCATTATCTCACTTTGCAAAACATACTTCTCCTTCCATAGAACCTGATTCAGATGAAAAAGTGGTAAATATAGGTTTTCCTAAGAAAAAACAGCATTTTGCGTCAGAAAAACCCCTTCGTAGTAACTTAAAACATGTCAAAATAATATCAGAGCCAGAACTATTAGGATATGTAACTCCAACCCCTGAGACTATTACTTCCACAGTTCGACATCCAAATAAAAATATATATTCATCATCGACAATGCCTACTTTATTTCCTATTACAGAATTACCTTTCTTTATTTCTAAACCGGAAACCGAATCGACGGAAAGTATATCTAGTATGGATTATACATCCCAAAAAAATAAATCAAAATTTAGCTCTTTAGTTAAAGGTAAGTCAGATATTGAAAAATCACTAAAATATAAAAAAATTGTCCAAGATGTACCTAACGTTAGTGATGTTACCCAGTCTGATAAGTATTATGATAATATTGATTCGACACCAATTACTCTACTTAAACCTGAAGACATTACGACGACAGAGACTAATAATGAGCGACAAATAAATGACTATATAAGTGAAATTGTCTCCACAACTAGTACGACAAAATCGACCACAACTTTGAAAACTGAAGTAGAAACTAAGCCAACCACTAAAAGCATATCCTTTCCAACTCGTGCTTCACGTATCAACCCCGCCATAAAATTAGCTGCGGCAAACATTGGAGGTGGGCGCAGGAGTTACCAATCATCGTCCAATTGTTCATCAGACAACAGTCTGCAAGTGAATCCAAAATGCAACGAAATCAAATACCAGAGGTACTCGCCGGCCAGTAGTCTTAGCATTCTAATGTTTCATACTTATTAACGGACGGTGGAGGCTTCATACTCCTTACTTTCCGCCTCGCGACATAACTGGCATGTTATTAAACATTTCTCGAAAATCATTGATAATAGCACCCATTTTTAAAATCTATCGCTTAGCATACTTTTCTATGTAAAATTCTCATTGGGGGACTTCCAGTCGGTTGAGTTGAAATCTGTAACTGTAAATTGTTAACTCCTGACGCGACCATTTCCATTTCCTGCACATTATTTTAGTCATTCTAGTATTTATATATTTATATCTACTCTTAAACATTTTATATAATTTAATTTAATCATTTATAGTAGAAAGTTCCTCAATGTTATAAATATAAAACGTATTTTTTGCACCACATCTACAGTTTCATTATAATCACGCACCTTTGGTATATCGAAGAATATTTCGTTATATTAGTTTATGCATGTTGTTAGTGCATGGCAACATCAATTTTTTATATAATATTCGCATCTATATTATTTTTTATCATTGATTCGCTTCAAAAAACCCATTGTGAGTTAAGTAATTCCAGTTCATAAATAATCAAATCATTGACATTAAAAATACAATATCATTAAATTATTGCTTTTACCTAAAATCACGCATACTAAAGGATACATCCTTTTAAATGAGCATTTTACTAGAAATATTTCTTTACAGGCCAACTAGTACGAGAGGACGAGGCTCGGCACATTTTTCGACGTCGGGTGCATCAGACTCCTCGCAATCAGCTCCTAACAGAGGAACACCTCCAACGTTAGATTTCTATCATATGCGTTGCTAGCTTTTTTTGAATGTCAAGTCGCATATTGCTGTTTATTTTGAAGCAAAGATGTTATTTTTTTTTTGATTATTATATACCAAATATGTATAATTATACTATTATTGAGATTAAAACAATGTATTCTCTTTTACAGTCGCAGCCGACCTACATTAAAGCCCTCTACATCTATTGTAGCAAAAGTGTCAGAAGTAGATATATATACAAGCCCACCAAGTCGACCAGCTCCTGTGTATCCACAACCTACTCCTGACAAGACAGCAGCTAAATGCAGGAAGGACGTTTGTCTATTACCAGATTGCTTTTGTGGAGGAAAAGATGTTCCTGGTACGTTTTCGTAAATAACTATTTAATTCATGGAGTTGATTAATAATTATTTTATTTATTATTCGTTTTTAGTTATGTAGTCTAAATAATTTCAATTAAATAAAATTTAAAATTAATGTGTATCTTAGGAAATTTGCCCGTCAGCGAAGTACCACAAATTATACTTATAACATTCGACGATGCTATAAATGATTTAAATAAAATGTACTATGAAGAAATTTTCGAAAAAGGACGCGTCAATCCGAACGGTTGTCCTATAACAGGAACTTTTTACGTGTCCCATGAATGGACCGATTATAGTCAAGTGCAAAATTTATATGCAGATGGCCACGAATTTGCCTCTCATACTATATCGTAAGTGATTAAGGTAGAGGGAACTATTTGCTGAATCTGATACTTTCTCTCTATGGAGGTTTCGTCAGGCATAGAGTGATTTATGAGTTGAATATTCGAAGCAAATGTTTTAGAGTCGTTAGAACTATATTATATGGTTTGAATAATCGACTCATATTCGCAACTAACGGTTTCATGGCCATCTATATACGTACATATACGGTTCTTATATTATGCGTTATATTATTATTTATCAAACTACTAATATTAATTTATTTAATGTTTATTATGTTTTATTAATTTGATTTTTCTTTCTTTTCTTCCATCCTATCTACCTTTATCTTTAACCATTTACTTACCTCTTTCCTTTCCTGGCACATATTACACTTGCCCTAAACACACGCACTACCAATATCCTGCGACAAACAGGCGACTTACCAACGGATAAAATACCGCAAATTGTTCTGCTGACATTCGATGATTCTGTAAATGACCTGAATAAGGGGCTTTATACTGATTTATTTGAGAAAGGTCGGGTTAACCCCAATGGTTGTCCAATTTCTGCCACATTTTACGTTTCCCACGAGTGGACCGATTACAGTCAAGTACAAAATCTATACTCGGCCGGACATGAGATGGCATCACACACTGTTTCGTAAGTCTTTGGAAATTATTCGCACTGAGTATAAAAAAAGTTACTCAAATTGTAATTTCAAAAAATACAGAGTATCGTTATAGTCGATTCTAATTTGCAAATTATTTATATTTTAATATTATATTTGTATTCTTTTTATTATTATTTAATCCAACTAAGAACTTTTCAATTAATTAATTTTCTAAATAACTTTGGTTATTGGGTTTAAATCTTCGCTTAAATTTTCGTAACCTTTCAATTACAATTAATTTTAAAAATGTAAAGAAATATTTTTTTAATATTATTCAATATTTTAGACATAGTTTTGGTGAGCAATTTTCTCAAAAGAAATGGAATAGAGAAGTTGGTGGGCAAAGGGAAATTTTAGCTGCTTATGGTGGTGTTAAACTTGAAGATGTTAGAGGAATGAGAGCCCCCTTCTTATCAGTAGGTGGAAACAAGATGTTCAAAATGTTGTACGATTCTAATTTCACATATGATTCATCGCTACCAGTTTATGAGAATAAACCACCAAGCTGGCCTTATACCTTGGACTATAAATTATTCCACGACTGCATGATTCCGCCGTGCCCGACTAAATCGTACCCAGGTAAAATACTTTAGATATTTTGAAAATATAACAGTATGATTTATATAATATTTTTCTTTTAAGTAATTGTTAATGTTTGAACATTTTAAACCTCTTTTTATTCTTAAAATGATTTAATAGTTAGGTAATTATTCATAAACTTCCAAATCATCAATGCTATTTTATCAAATGTCTTTCCATAAGGTCCAAGTTCGTGAGATTTGATTTGATAGTAACAGAGTGAATGTTTGGTGGTAGTAAGGATAAAGCATAAAGATATTTATAGAATACATAGGATATGCGTGCTTTCGTAAAATATGTAGAAAATGGAGAATGAAGTAACATATAACAACTAAGAAAAGAAGAATATTACAAAAATGTTGCTTGCCAAGAAGTATGGAAGTAAAATACAAGCCTTTAACATTTGTTTATTTTAATTTCAGGAGTATGGGAAGTTCCTATGGTAATGTGGCAAGATCTTAACGGTGGCCGTTGTTCTATGGGAGACGCCTGTGCCAATCCACCAGACGCGGAAGGAGTGTACAAAATGATCTTGAAAAACTTTGATAGACATTATACTAGTAACAGGTATTGCATAAAATATTTGAAAATATATCATGAAAATATTCAAGGTTAAATTGCCAGTTTTTTATTAATAAAAATTGAAATAATTATATTTAAATTGTTGTCTCTTGTTAAATATCTTCAATAAAAGTCGTTTTAATTAGATTTACATATTTAATTAGAATTGTGTTTTATCATAACAAATCTTACAGAGCACCATTCGGTCTCTTCTACCACGCGGCGTGGTTCACTCAACCTCACCACAAGGAAGGATTCATCATGTTCTTAGACTTCATCAACCAAATGAACGATGTGTGGATCGTCACCAACTGGCAAGCTCTCCAATGGGTCAGGGATCCCACTCCTATATCAAGGCTGAATAATTTCCAGCCATTCCAATGCAACTATCAGGTATAACATTTGCACAACAATAAATAAGAAGATAAAAAATTGATAACTTAGTATCTTAAATTATAATATAATTCTTTTTTACTAAGAAGACGGACTACATACATCGATGTTGACGGACATAATTTCTCTTAAGTTTAAATTTTAAGACGGGACAACTATTAAGTTATACAATATTATATTCATAAAAAGTAATCATGAAAGTCGGTTCACGAGTAACGAAGATAATGTGTAACAGACTCACAATTGAGTTGGTATCTCAAAGTCAGTAAAAGATTTTAGAATCATAAAATTTTGTATTAGAAATGTATGAATATCATTATAATCGACCATAGTTTAATTAGATCTCCAAATATGTCCACTATAGTGCATCAATTATTAGAATTTATTTCTAAATGTGTAAATGTTTTGTTTCCTTCTAGGGCCGACCCAAGAAATGCAATAATCCGAAAGTATGCAATCTCTGGCACAAATCTGGAGTAAGATACATGAGGACTTGTCAACCTTGTCCAGAAATATACCCATGGACCGGCAAAACTGGCATCAGATCATCACGTATTGACAACGACATTGACGAATAAGATATAAATATAAGTAGGTGTATATAAATTATTAGTGTCCGATCGAAGACTTTAGTAAACTCTTCATCAAGCTGATATGAAATTGTATGAATACTAATTAATTTATTATTAGTCTTAATAACAAAAATGTTCTGATTACCGCTGGATGGTAGTGTCTTTATACTGTATTGAAATGGATTATTGAATTGTTTGTTCGAAGTTGGTTTTCTACGTGAAAATCAAATAGTGTTAATAAACTTATTTATTGGAATCAATAATGGAACAGATTTGATTTATTTATTATGAGATAGCTTACAATTAGAGCAAAAAATTTGCATACTATAATCCATTTGATAACAATTAAGTATAGATTACATCAACTTGGTCTCTCAAACTCTATTATAATATAATATCTACATAATATGTCGGGCTATTGATGAAGCACATATTTATATGAATTCTTTTAAAATCACTAAGGTGAGGTATCAAATAATTAACTGTATTAATTTCTATTAGTTTAAAACATCTTAGACTAAAGCCGTAAAATTCTTTTGGTCAATACATTCAAGTGTAAATAAGTTTGAGACTTAGTTAAATAGATACATGAACGCTATTATAGTACAATTTACTTTGGTCGTAATCTAGCTTTGGTCGGACACTATCACATATCGCAATGATCCATTACACGTTAATGTTTCAGGATCATTCTGCTAGTAAATTATTATCAAATACTGTTTTGTCACCAACTAGTAAGTGCCATTTAGATTAGATGGTCACAAAGCAAATGTTTTAAACGATTTAATCGTTTTTCGAAATTTTTTGCTTCAATTACTATATAGAGTTAAAGTTTTGTATTGTATTGGAAACTGTGATATTTTGTGTTTTCAATCGCTTAGAAATGCATCAAAACATCTGTGAACTTTGTTTGTTTGTCGTGTCGTATAGATTATCTGCTTCATATTTTCCTATTGCGTGATCAATCGCATTATTAATAAACCGTTTGAAATACTCTTATTGGAATGAAAATATAATATTTAGATAGAATATTTGAATAGATAGTAATTTTGTACCATCTCATAGAATATTTTACAATTTTTCAGCTTCTGGCTGCTAAATAATCAATATTTTGAAACATTACCATTTTTTTTTCATTTTTAATACGAGCCATATTAAAATTTAGAAAATATTTCTTATCTTGCCAGAGTTGTGGTTGTCACTGCCCTTTTTATACAACTGTAAATATAGTTAGTATCTATTTGTGTTAAGTTAATGATAAGTTTGTGAGATGTAAGCGCTTAAATAAAAATTATATAAGTGTAATACGTAATTGCATCAAAATACCTGATCTGGTAACTAAAATTTCTAACACTCCCGACGGTTAAAGTACAGGTGGGGTTGTAGTACTCGTAACTATGTTTTACTTATTAAATCGTTTCGGTTAATTTAGCGTCACGTAGACGTCTGTCTGCATCGTGCTATTGATGAAGCACATGTTTACGTGACTGCTAAAGAATTTTTAAATCATAAAGTAAATAATGCAAATGAATGTAGCAATTTTAAAATGAAAGATCTAGTATTTTGACTTAAATAAGAATTCATTGCACACGTATGTATGTATGTATGTATTTCAAGTTATAGCGCTTGAGAAAGTTCTATTTATCTTTTGGAATATTTTATTTAAATAATAAGTCTAATTGTAAATACATGTAGATATAATATTTAAAATTCTTAGTTCCATTTTTAAAATTTGAATTATAATAATTGATATACCTATTTTTTGGCTTCATAATTCGCATAGGAGTGTAATGGGACCCTGATTTTTCTTTTATTGTACTTTTTGCATTCGTTTTAGTAAGTAAATATCGCAAATATAATGGACGCAACCAGTGTGGCGTAATAAAATTATATGATAAAAATTTTGTTTTTTATTTAGTTCTCTAATCTGATATCATAATTGAGGCAGGCATATTGTATGTATAACCTAAGTGGTACGGTTGTATGTATTCAGCCCCTTTTAACGTCCCACTACTAGAGCCTCCCTTCAATACGAGGGGGATCAGGCCATAGTCCACCACGCTGGCCAAGTGCGGGTTGGCGGACTTCACATGTCTTTCTAAAACTTGCTAATAATTGTAACAATCAAAACTTGAAATATTTTTGTGAAATATTGTTGTGTTATTTAATATGCACCATAGTAAGAGCCAAGTTCATAGTTCATTCTTATATCAAAATAGAAATATGTAGTTACTTTACATTTTCTTTGTAACTTGAAAATGCTCTCTGAACGAAAATTTAAAGAATAATAAATAACGTGTAATATATAATATAATAGCAAGATGCAATTGCCTGCAAGGAAAATGAATGAAATAGTCTGTTTTTCAAGGTTTTCATGCATTTCTGATGTTGAAATGACCGTGAGGAATGGCTTATGGTTCATAAAAAATAAAATTTCAATCATAACACCTGCTTATTGACATTTTGTAAGTCAAGGTCTACAAGGTCCTATAAATTGAGAGAATCTACACGAAATATGTAATTTTAGCTAAGACTTCACCATAGGTGGTTATGTGTCTTAATTTAAAATGATATATACAATACTTATTATATTATTTTTAAATTGTAAATGTTCAAAGTCTTCGAGTTACGAAGATTACGTATCGAAATTTGGTTTAAAAAAATATAGAGAAAAATTGCCATTGCACCATTATAAAATTCATTCGAATATTCGTACAAGTTACAGACATGTACCGAAATATGTCGAAAAAAATGAATTCAGAGAAAAGAAATATGATAAAATCAACTTTACTATCAATTCTATAATAATGAAGAGAAACGCAGATCCAGTTTTTCGCGGTCATCCCAAAACACAAGAAGAAAAATGGCATGAAATGTTTCTAAGCCAAACGAAGAGTTTCGACCAAAATCCTTCTCTTATTAAATTGATACATAATATAACTTTAACGTATTTAAATGAATGTACGCCTGTCATTCTTTATGACGATCAAATCAAATCACGCGAAGGGTATCTGTTCCAAGATCTGTTCAAGACTTTTCCAGTAACGTTTGTTCATGGGTATATAGGAGAAAAAGACATTTTAAAAGAACCAAGGCTATTACAACCCAAATATAATTGCTTTCATTTCATTGTCTTTTTAAGTGATGTCAAAAGCAGTGCCAAAGTTTTGGGTAAACAATCAAAAAGTAAAGTTATTGTGGTCGCGAGATCATCCCAATGGGCAGTACAGGAATTTTTATCGGGACCTTTGTCTAGATTCTTTGTCAATTTAGTAGTGATTGGACAAAGTTTTAAAGAAGAAGACAGTTCGGTAAGGATACAATTGATAGAAATCTTTTATAGCATATACCGCAAAGAGTAGCTAATAATAAAAACTATTAGCTGTACGGAATATGTACTGCACCGACCGAATGTAATTGGGAAATGGGCAGGGAAATGAAAAACATGAAGAGCATCTAAGTAAAATTTAATAAGGAGTTAATCACATAAAATTCACAAATTACAATCAAACCTAAGTAAAATTACTTTTTAATACAAAAGGCTACTACTACTGATTAAAGTTATTTTCATCCTTAGAAATGGATCTTTTTGAAATACGAATCTGACCACCTTCTATTTATAATTTGCAAAGTTTATTATATGGACTATTTATTTACCCTTGCTTCGCGTGTATTCCTTAGTTGATAACAGTGACCTATGTGTTACTGCAGTTCATAGTCTACTATACAAACTATCACGTTTAAAATAGCGGGTCAATGTATTTATTATATATTAAACATAAAAGAAATTTAATTTTAAGGAAACTGCGTACATATTGTACACTCATATTTTATACACCGACGGCTTGGGAGCAAGCAAACCAAAAGTCTTATGTTCTTGGAGTCACGGAAAATTTTCTCGACAAGTTAATTTATTTCCTACGAAAATGATTAACGGCTACGCTGGCCATAGGTTTATAGTTGCTGCTGCGAATCAACCACCGTTTATTTTTAGGAGGTACTCATGTTTTCAATTATCGATTTAAAACATTGTTTTTATTTGCAAGCTCTTTCAAATGAATATTTTGTAAGTAAATCAATATTATAGTATTTTATTCTATCTACATATATTAATATGATACTACGTACTACCTTTTGTATATTTAAAATTATCTATGTCTAATAAAATAATACCTTACAGAATTCATACAGATGGAGATGGTGGAAATCCAACAGTAATTTGGGATGGGCTTGAAATAAGAATACTAAAATTGTTAGCTGATAGAAACAATTTTTCCATAGAAATAACTGAACCTCGGGACGGAGTAGAATTGGGGTAAAGGTTTATATTTCTATGGTGTCAATTAGTCAGAGTTTTTGGAATATTATCCCCTAAAGAGGTTAATCTCTCCACGAGCGCGAACACGCCGTTACAGTTAACAATAGATTTCTTAGAAATTTAATTAATTTCTTAGAAATTTTCCTGAAGGTATTAAAAAGGATGAAATTTTGTATAGAAGTTCGTTTTTTGAAGTAAAAAATATAAAATTTGAAGATCTAACTGTATTTAATATCAAACAGTGAGTTTATTGAGAGCTCTCTCTTCCTCTCAATGCGTTAGCTGTTTGTTTATGAATATGTTTTGTATTATTAGGCTATTTGAAAATATTTTATAATTATTAGAGCCGGTGATGCAGTTACTAATGAAATAACCTCAGCCAGAGCAGACATAGGCGTGGCAGGAATGTATGTAACAAGTGAACGGTCTCGCAATATGGACATGAGTTTCTCTCATTCTCATGATTGTGCAGCGTTTATTACATTGACGTCTACGGCATTACCACGGTCAGCCTACGTTTTATTTTATTCTACCTATTATTATTATATAAGGCACATTTAACCTTATTATTTTAAGGATGTAGCATTTAAATTATCGTTATAGTAATGTTTTAAAGTTAAAAAAGGAACTCAACACTATAGTTATTTATTGAAATATTGATTTTGTAACTATACTCTCTGTAAGTTTCTTCTATGTTTAATTTTCACAATAGAGGTTTGTTGATAAAGTAATTTATTTATATGTAATATTATTATAAAGAAACATAAAACATGTCCGTAACACTTATATATATTTTTATTTGTAGTTGTGTGTTTGCAGATATCGCGCAATTTTAGGTCCGTTCCACTGGCACGTATGGGTCGCTCTTACATTCACCTATTTAATTGGCATTTTCCCTTTGGCTTTCTCAGACAAGCATACATTGCGTCATTTACTTCATGATAAAGGAGAAATTGAAAATATGTTTTGGTATGTCTTTGGGACATTCACCAACTGTTTTACCTTTGTGGGAGAGAATTCTTGGAGTAAAACAACTAAGATTACTACACGGTTGTTAATTGGTAAAACTAGATTATTTTATTACAAGGTGCATCTTATACAGGGCCGGATTATCCATAAGGCAGTTTAGGCAACTGCCTATGGGTCCCTCATCGGCTAGGGGCCCCACACACGGATAAAAAAATTAAAAATGTACCATAGAGTGAAAATTTAATTAAAAATTTAAAAAATAGGTGAAGATATCACCATGAGCACAAATGCCTACTTACGCAAAATGAATTTTAATAAGCTAGAAAAAGGTGAAAGGGCACCGAGAATTGCATTGCCCCAGGCATGGTTAATTCGGCCCTGATCTTATAGATATATATTATCTACTTGGTTCATAAATATGAGTTTTGCAGGTTGGTATTGGGTATTTACAATTATAATAACAAGTTGTTATACAGGATCTATAATTGCATTTGTAACTTTGCCTATCTTTCCCGAGACTGTGGATACGATAAAACAACTGCTGTCTGGATTTTATCGCGTTGGAACTTTAGGTATGTTAATATTTTAAAGTTATTTATGTGGTTTTATAAAATTATAGGTCCAAAAATCGACTTAAATTTTGTCTATTTATTATAAAATTTATATTCCAGATCGAGGTGGCTGGGAAAGATGGTTTTTTAATTCATCTGATCCTTTGACTAACAAACTTTTAAAGAAAATTGAATTTGTGCCTGACGTCAGAGTTGGTATACGAAATACTACCGAAGCATTTTTCTTTCCATACGCATTCTTAGGATCCCGAGCGGAATTACAATATATTGTCCAATCAAACTTCTCGAAAACTGAGTATATATCAGATTTTTTAACGTTGCTTTTCTAAATTACAAAGCCTGTGATGTTTTTTTGTTAGGATGTTTTTTTTTGTATTCAGTCCTTTTTAACGTCCCACTGCTGGGCGCGGGCCTCCCTTCAATACGAAGGGGATTAGCCCATAATCCACCACGCTGGCCAAGTGCGGGTTGGAAATAACTTAATTATTTCCTATACTTTATATAATTTACTCATATCAATATATTTTTAAAGTCTAAATTTGATTAATCTCTACTAATTTGAAGTTAGTTTATTTGAGCACGCTAGTCTATAGAAACAGCAGTCAGATCAGTAGATCAGTATCGGGGTATTATCAGCCAGTAACGGGGCAATTTTAAACAAATAAATTAAGCAGACGGAGCCACGAGCAAACTATAGTTTAATATATATATATATATATATCTTACTAAACATAATTGTTTTACAAGATATCGTCACTATTTTTTAGATCCAAGCGTTCAGTTTTACACATCTCGAATGAATGCTTCGTGCCGTTTGGAGTTAGTATAGCTTTTCCAAACAACTCGCTATATGGTGCCAAATTAAGTGATGACATAAGAAGAATGATGCAGGCTGGGATTTTAGATAAATTAAAGGATGAAGTGCGTTGGGCAATACAGCGATCAACCTCAGGAACATTGTTACCGGTATAAAAATTTTATTGGAAGTTAGCAATTTTTTTCAGCTTTGCTTGGTAGGTACTTTATATTATACCTACTAATAAATCTTACAAAATGCCATACAACTTCTGTATTGATGATATTACATTAAAAACCTTTCAAAGTTATATTCTAATGGATGAATGGTTTATGAAAGTAGGTACATTTTAATTGAAAATATTCCAAAAATATTAATTTTATTTTTACTTACGTGAGAGTGATGAAATTATATGTATTTTTCATATTTTAGGTAGTTTATACTGATTACCTAAAGAAAAATGCAATTGAAGAAAAAGGTCTTACGTTAGAAGATACACAAGGAATGTTCTTGCTACTTGGCGCAGGATTTTTGATAGCGGGGACTGCCCTTCTGTCCGAGTGGATGGGAGGTTTCTCAAAGAAATGCCGTATGATAGGTAGAAAGATGAGATCAAGCAAGATTTCTCACGAAAATTTAATTGATTCACCAAAAAAATCAATGCCTGAAATAAATAAGACATCGCAGAGTAGATTGCGTTTTAAGTCAAGATCAACAACTATAAGTAACGATTCTGATGACACTCTTGAAGGTGAAATTATAAACGTAACACATGAAAGTATCACCGTGCATAATGATTTTAATGAAAATGATTGGGATTCAAGACGATCAAATTCTGTGGATTTAGATAGAGAGGTCGAAGTGATTTTTAAAAAAGAAACTCAGGGAAGAAGGACTTCTTTAGAGGAAGAAGTATCTGATTCAGTTGATAAAAGAACACATACTGCGTCTAAAGATGCTTTCGGAGAACATGTTCATACAAATTAATAATAAATAATAATAATAATAAATAGTATTTATTGCCATAAAAACAGTAGCAAATGTTAGCAGAATCAGTAAGGCTTAAAGTAACTTATGGCAAAGGGTAATAAATCAGCTAATGCTGCTAAGACCTAAATCTCAAGCAGCGCTGATTTTCAGTTACACCCATGATTGAAATTGAAAATGCTTTCAAATTAACTAGGATTAGGATACTTTCAACGATTTATAACTAGTATTTTTAGTATTTGGCGACACGTTTGGCTCAGGTTGTAGTGCACTTACTACTCTACTTGCTGTGCCGGCAGACGTGTGTTCGAGTCTCGCTGGGGTTATTCATTTGTGTGATGAGCACGAATGCTTGTACTCCAGTGGGTGTTTATATTTATAATATATGTGTGTATTTAGAGTTATATATGTGTAGTGTATAAACTATCTGGTATCCAAAACACAGGCCTCGTAGCTTACCATGGAACTAGATGGTGCGTTAATATCTCAACATATTTTTACATAAAGCACTGTGTTTTAAGCGTTTATTACTATAACATAAAAAAGACCTCGTAAATTAATTTACTGTTCATTTAATGACATTTTTACATTATCATATAAAATTCAAAAAAGGTTTTTGATTATATAAAGAATTTAAATTTTGCCCTTAAAAAGTTTAAAACATATCATGAAATGAATAACGTGAGGTAGTAATCGTATAATTATTAAGTAGTTAGCACACAATTGCACATTGTTTTTCTACACCAAATCTTACCTCTTACTTTTTATTAGGCTTTAAGGGTTAATTATTCTAATAAAATATAATGTTTCAAAATATGTATATGTTTTAATTTTCGTATTGCTTTTATTCCTTATAATGCCTCGGTGGTGTAGTGGCTAGCATGTACGGCTGCACACCCGGAGGTCCTGGGTTCGAGTCCCGGGTCGGGCCAAGTTTACTTATTGAGTCTTTCTGTATAGTAAGCTTCAGTAATAGCCTGGAGTTGGGAAGTTGGTGGTGTTACACCCCCGTGCCTCGGAGAGCACGTAAAGCTGTCGGTCCTGCGCCTTAACTCTCACTGGTCGTGTCGAGTGGTCGTCCCACCAGAGTATGAGAGTGACAGGAATAGAGAGTGCACTTGTGTCTGCGCGTACACTTGTGCACTATAATATCTCCTGCGCAGTTGGCTAGTCTCAATGAGATTGGCCGCCGTGGCCAGAATCGGTCAGGAGAACATCATCATCATTCCTTATAAAATGTCAATTTAATAATTTCAAATGTAAAAGTTCTTTTTTTTAATTATATAGGCACTTGCTTGTATAAATATGTAAAATATTAAAACAAAATCCCTTCTTAACGTACATACTTTCAAGTAGTTATGCTTAGATTAATTTATTTGTTGTAATTTGTTTTAAAAATTTAAAATTAAAAAATAAAAACACATTGACATCCAACTCTTTATTATCCTTCGAACAGTCATCAAAATAATTTATAACAATTTTCTAACACTGTCCTTTAACATTAATATTTCATTCAGCCATTGAGAAGTTATTGTTACTCATTTACATAGAGGGCAGAACTGTCTGCCGTGACAGGCGTTGTAAGACCTAAATTAATGCAATATTTGGCCCGGCCGCATCTTAAAAATAATTATACATTATGACTTAAATTCCCTCGAGGCTCCTTAGAAAAGTCAAGGGTGGCCTCATAATTATCAGTAAAAATATCGTTAAAATACAACAGGTTTTGCATTACTTTTTGTAAATTCAAACAAAAATATACCTAATACCTACCTAAGCGATTTGTTACATGTATTGCACAACTGATGTTACGAGAAGTAAGTGTGAAATCGACTTGAGTATTCAATAAAGATATGTATTATATGCCTAATCTATCTGGGTTGTCACGAGCACTGTGAGGCAATAGCAAGAAGGGGGGAAGGGGGGCGACAGGACTATTATATTACACTACGTCGAAATCTAATTTGATTTCGGACTATTCTTATGACTACAACATTTAAATGCAATAATGTAAACGGAAGTTGCCTCTTGCTATTGTACCACAGCTAGATAAATACAGGTAAAACATTCACGTACATAAGATACATCTACGAAAAAAAAAACAGAGCAAACCCTTTTTACAATAACACACAACGAGTTGTGCGAAATGAATATTATAATTAAATAATTAATTATTAATAAGTGAAATCATTCCCGACATCAAAGCTCACAACCTCGGAAATTATGCTCCCAATACCAGCTTACAGATTTTACGTTTTATACAAGACAAGAAAGTCAATAAATTACATAAAGTGCAACAGATGATAGTCCATGTCATACAGACAGACATAAGTGATTCATATAAATAGACGTATCGTCTCCTATGACTATTACATGAAAAATATTTGTTACATCTTTACTGGACTTACATTTAAGCATCGTCAGTGCACACTCTCGTGATAGGTATATAGGTAACAACGTGTAGATCTAATTTATTATAAACATCCTATAGTGAGGCTCTCAGTGATTTCTCAGTTCATACTTAGATTGCAAATGCTATTTTATGTATTTGTTGTTAATAGGTTTGAGAAATCAAAAAATTACAGAATTTATAAGACGAACTTAATTCGGTCGATAGAAGGATTCGATCTACCAAAGGTAGTTACGGCCAAAGGTAAGTTGAGCAAATTTCAACAAATAAAGCACACGAAGTTTTTGAAAGGAACAAGTAGGAACGAACGACCGAAAACGATCACGTGGAAACAACGTAAGATTAGAATTTGAAACGCGAGATTTGTAACAGTGCATATTGATATCATTTTAGAGGTGGGCAATTATGAGAGATACAATTGAAAACAGAATATCTCGAGATATCTCGATCGTACACTAAGTAATTAGTAATATTAACACCAAACAATCATCAACACGACTCCACAATCAACGATACAGTACTCATTCATAATCACCCACACCGCATCACATCACATTAACAATTTACTCTAAACATATACGGTGTACGAATGTACCCTTACAAGGGCCAACGTTTATTATTATCCAGTATTAAAATATAGTTACATCTAGTTGTGTATAATATGTTACAATGCGAAAATACATTTCTTATTAGTTCAGACTTTTGAACTTCAAACTGGTTACTTCCCTGTACAATTTATAACAAATATACATTAACATTTCGTTATTGTGATTTGAAGGATTACACAATACGTTCCGATTATAATTATTACATTGACTCCTAACAATTAGACACTGCATTGGATTTATCCGTCGATAGCTAGATTTACAATTTTGGACTAAAAATCGCCGGAAACAATCAAAATGGCGATTTTCTCAGATAAACATAGAATCTATCGGCTGATAAATATCTTCAATATCGGCGCACCGATACAGTGGTGATAACATTCTGAATATTATACTATTCTTAACTGATTTGTACAATTTGTACAGTGATACTCATATTATAACACGCATAGATGCAAGTGAAACACTTTTGTGCGTGACAAAAAGTTTTCCAGTCGCAAAGATTAACATTTATATATATTTATATATTGTAAATACCTTAAAATATTAGGATGTGAAAAAATCGATGCACAAAACCTATTCGTACGATACAAATTTGGTAAAATATGGTACATTAGGCACTGTGAGTAAGGCATCTACAGTGAGAAGATATGAGGGGTAAGTGACCTAATACTTGAATTGCTTTTATTTTTTATACGAAATATAATTTAGAAAAAGATAATTTTCATCCATCATTTTCTGTCTCCTTTCTTAAACCATACAGTTTAACTGTTTTATGGTTTATACACTTTTGTTATTGGTACTATTTTTCATTTTATGATCAATTCAAGTCAAATATTAGGTCAGGAATAAATAGAACCAGTATATATTCGGTATTTACGGTTCTAATAAGAAATAAGCATCAATACAGACGTACAATTATTAAAAGCCTGTTAAATAATATTGACTTTGAGCATTTTGTAAGTAGTCCTAATACCTTAATAATAATATTAAAGTTAAAAATGATAGATATAAATATGCATTTTCACATCGCTATTCTCAAATATGAGTAATTTATTCAACAGTCTCTCAACAAACGTACGTTAGTTTAAGAAAATAGATACAGGACATTTAGTTAACAATAAAGGGTTATGCTTATAATGATTTGCTACATGATTACTTATAATATGATCTAAAAATAGGGCGGCATGTGATTTTTATAGTGCTTTACCAAAATACGTATGATCCTTTGTGAAAATATATATCTGTGTATGGTTAAAGTTAAATATATTATGCGGATATTATTTGTATGTAAATAGATTTTTAATGCAATACTTCAGATCACATTAACAAAAGAGATTTACTAACAACAAGCTTTATCTTTACTAGTAATCAATTACAGCCACTAATCATGTAAACACTAATGGGTACTTCAAAAGTACAATTTTACAAGTTATGATATTCAAAATTGACTTGGTTTTTTGGTCTGGAAATGAGAAACGCCCGCACGTGGCTAAAATAAGTTTTAATGTAACTGCTCGCATGTAAGTGTTCTAACCGAAAGAAACGACAGTGATCTTTAGGATTTATTATGAAAATCCTGTTGTATAATATAAATTGTGTTTACTTACAAGACTGCTTAGAGTGCGAGTGTTATCATAAGAATTTTAAAGCTTTGTGTGGTACTTTTATATAGTCATCTCTAGCTAACATTACCTACTTACATTACATAACATTCGTTCCTAACGGGACGTGTATACATATGTAAATATTATGATTCTCATGTATAAATATGTCAATAGATAAAGTACATTTTCCAATACATAACTTACTATCTTCTGTGATGACGCTACACTTAATTTACAAGGTTCAAAGTTCGGATGTCACACTAATCATATTTTAAAATGGCACAAAAAAACTTTAAAACACTAACACAAAGTCAACAGTCGGTTTTACTTTTAGTCTTCAACGCACTCGCACATTTGTGGTCCATCGCGCACTTCTCCTCCGAATTCACCGAACTTCTGAATTACAACTAATTGACTATAAGCTAATACAGACAATGGCACGGATTCCACATATAATGTTGCTATTTACAAGAGAAATTAGAAATCTATCTATTAAATTTGATCAGGGTTGCATCTATTACACGATTGTACTTATTTTAACATTAATCCTTAATCTTTAGTTGCATGTGCATTACATTAATTACGTATCATAGAAGGGTTGTGAAAAATTTTGTCAACATTGATTGGGACAAGGTAAGTAGAATAGCACTAGGCCCTTTTCTGATGCAATAACCGTGCCATAGCGGAGCACCGTTTCGTCGCCTAAAGTGGGCATTTTCAACATTGTATTGAAAAGAGCGTAGTATAGACCAGGACGGTACAGTACCGAAAGCTCGATGCAGGATGCCTTGTCGGGGGCTGGAGGTGTCACGTTGGGACCCGGGGGCCTTAGCAGTGCGGGTGGAGGGGCCTCGGATAGGGACCGAAGGCCTCATAGCCTAGCTATGTGGCCCAGCCTTCGATCCGCTGCCGCTTTGTGTGAGGCTGCTCGTAGTCTAGTGGGACGGTGTTGTGCCTCATGTCCTGTCCGGCCGGCGACCCCATGTTGCTTGACGTTACTGATCCTGAAAAGTATGTTGCTATTTATTTAGTGCTTTTAATGTTAACTTTAGTATGGAAGGGTATTGCCAAACTAAGTATTTTGGTTTGTATTTGGGTAATGAAATTAATATTTTAGATTAAGTTATGAAAGGACTGACTGAGGTTGTTTTGTTGAATTAATTTAGTTTTCATAATTTATTGAAGCAATAAAACTATAATAAAATAATATTAAGGCCATTTCTTATATTGTAATATTATCATCGTATGTATAGATTATATTTATATTTATAATATGTTTTTACATATTGGTATATTCTACTATTTTCTATACAATATGTATTTATTAATGTAGCTCGCTGTTTTAGCGATAAAGTCAATTCATGCTCGTAAAGCATATCTAAATTTTCTGTATCTATTCCTTCTTTTGGGATGTATAATAAAGAGTTATTATTATTACAGTTATTGTAAATTAATATTATATTTAAAAAGAGCAACAGTGTTGAGTTCGTCGGCTCTTAGCAGAACTGCCTTCCGAGCCGATGGTAGACTCCTCACGGACTTACATACTGATTTAATTTAAATGTAAACTTGACGATTAAAAAATGCTTGTAATATCTATTTGAATAAAGTATATTTTGATTTTGCAATTGTACATATTAGGTAAGTGGCTAGCAAATTATTACTTACCATCAATGACTCCAGACAGATGTGCGGGCTGCGGCGCGGGCGCACGGTGCATGTGGTCGGGGGCGCGGGGGGGCGACACTGGCTCTGCTTTGATCTTCACGTTGCTAGGCGACGCGGCCGGTGGGGATGTCCCACCCAGTACTGGTAGACTGCTACTGTTGAGTGACAGACTACATAAGTATAACTCTATGTAGCTTTATATTCTTTAAATATATGTACTTATATGCTATCTTAGTACATAGTTATTCAGCTATTAATGTCTTTTATGAATAAATGTTATTTTGTTAAATGCATTCTTATCGCTTTATTTAAGCAAGTAAAAGAAACTTGTTGATAAAAATGATAAAACGTACAATTTATTTATGTTTTGTGTTTAAATATTTGCCACAGTATTTAAAATTATGTCAATGTGAAAGTCTTAACTGCACAAATAACACGGTCATTAATTTCGCACATATATACAAGTGCTCCGATAGCCGTGATCGTCTAGTGGTTAGGACCCTACGTTGTGGCCGTAGTAACCCAGGTTCGAATCCTGGTCACGGCAGCGAAAGCTGTTACGGCGGAGCTAATTTTTTGATTTGTAATATTAAATTATTTTAAATATCAATAAATTTAGTATGACTTTACTAAGTACCATAAAAAATATTCCTTCCTTGATATATTATACTTTTAAAATATTTAATAGTTTTGTTAATTGTCATATAAATTGGTATTTACCATTTATCGTAGAATTTATATACAATTTTCCTTATTAGGAAAACGTTAAAAGTTTTTTGCTATTCAATTAATATAAAGTGCCACCTATTATTTAATGGAATATTTGAAGAGTGGTACTTTTTACTGAGCGCAGAGAGCTTGTTTTTTTTTAATTTAACAAGAAACTAGCAACAGTTTATTCGTGCGAGACGTGATTCGTTACGCTATGCGTCGGCTTCTGATTATGAGGCGAATTAAAGTATGATCAAGTACCATTAATTGAAGTCAGGTGGTTTCATTTAACTTTATATAACTCTATATCATTGTAAAACGACATAGAGTTATATAAAAAAAAGCGTAAACGTTGGCAATTAAACGTACTGAAGAGTAAAGTTATTTTTTGTGATATATTATTATATATTGCTTGTACCCTTATAAATATTCACTTTTCATTAATTACTTAGTAAATGAATTACTGTCAGTCAGTCTGACATGCATCAGCCTGAGTCAAATTTTTGTATGAGTTATTTGTTTAAGACATTGTGACCGTCGTCTGATATACTTAATCTGTTCATCAATTTTTGCGTACTCTATAAAGAAAAACATAAATAATACAAAAAACATAAATGCTTAGGTTTTATGTTATTTTAGCGCTCAATTGGTATAATTGAAAATTATTGAAGCGTGAACACATAGACGTGACAGTGTTATGCAGAGTAAAAATTCAGTAGTAAATCTATAAGCACCGATAGCCGTGAGCGTCTAGTGGTTAGGACCCTACGTTGTGGCCGTAGTAACCCAGGTTCGAATCCTGGTCACGGCAGCGAAAGCTGTTACGGCGGTGCATATGTTTTTGGCTGTATATTTTTAAGAGTGTAGGCTACTCGATATCTTCACTAATAATTCTCTATTTATTTTTTAGATTTTTTATAATTATATACCTATATTACTATATATACATAAAAATATCAAGGAAAATCAAAAGGATGCTATTTAAATGATAATAAAAATAATTGAAATAAAAAACTTTACGCTTGTATATAAAAATCTGAACTAGAATACTGCAGAAGTATATTGTACTGCTATTATTAATCTACATATATTAATCATAAAAACATAGAACATCCCTTTATTTAAACTTATCTTTAGAGCTTAAAATTATGTATTTCAAAAATATTGATTATACTAGGTTTATAGTTTATATATTTACATAGATATTAAATGGATTTTGTACATAGGAAAAATGAAATTGTACAGACATGTACCTGTTGTGCTGTAAAGTCTGTAGTTGATGCGCGCCCCATGAAAGTCCTATACCGATGTCCGAGCTCATGCTGAAGTCCTGTGGTCCGCCAAAGCTGCCGAGTCCTGAATAGCTTAGTGGTGTCTGAAAGAAATACGTATATTGTAATGATTATCGTAAGTTTGGGTATTAATACTGCAACAACGTTAGCAACTGAAGTAAAAGTATTATGATTATAAAAAGGTTATTGTTTGAATACTATTCTCATATATGTAGTATATTTTTATGTAATACTTTCTTAAATTTACGCGAATATTTGCCATTTTAAATAAAATTATCTTTTCGGATTTTTTCGCGGTTTTATTTTGGAGTCTCTCCTGTGACCTTGATTGCTGTAAAGCATTCGAAACGTCGGAAACCAAAAATTAAAATAAATTCGCGAAAAAATATTAAAAGATGGTTTTATTTAAAATAGTATATTTTTATAATACTTTCTTAGATTTACGCGAATATTTGACATTTTAAATGTATGAAGTATATTTTTATTTAAAAAATATATGACATCTCTATTTTTAAATACGGATATTTATTTGTCGTTATCTCCGATTTATTATGGTTTATGTTTAAAAACCAGTAATGATCTAAGAACTAACCTATTAGTAATTTAGTGGTAATATACAAATTATATTTAGGTATTGTTTTAGAATTAAATCATTCAAACTCACTTCTCCTGTATATGACAAGTCATCCTGTGGAGGCGGCATGGAGTTTGGTATGACGACGCGTAGATTATTGTGACGGGGCGAGTGGTGCGGCGGGGGAGCGTGGTGCGACTTGTGGGGGTGGCGATGAGGGGAGGGAGCTGGCCCTGGTGAGGGAGAGGGCGTGCATCCTGCCCCCAATGGAGATCCTGAGCCTGGGTATCCGTTCGACATTTCTAACATTCCGCCACTTGGGTAGACTGTAAAGAAAATGTAAATGATAATAAGTTTTGAATTTATGTTGTGTATAATTATAGATAAATTATTTAAAAAAAAAACATTTTTTTGGTTAAGAAGTTGCGTTTTGCATCAAAAGTTATCTAATAAAATGCAAATATAAATATTTATTATGTATAGTAAACTCACCTGAATCGGTTTCCGAAGACGATGGCCGTGGACTGATCGAAGTGTGCATTTGAGGACTAGCTTGCAAAAGGGACTGGTCATAGTTTCCGACGGGCACGCTCACTGGTAGGTTGTAGTTGCTCCCAGTGACGCCTACTCCAACTCGGCTGCCGTTCAATTGGTTACGTTGCATCATCATTTGAAATTCCTCGTCAATTTTTGAATACTTGGCTTCGGTCCGTGGTGTCAGGTTATATTCCGGTTCTGCTTCAGGGCTGTCAGGCGACATCACTCCGTTCTTATGCTCTTTCTTCGTTAGTGCCTGTAAGTGTCAGCGAAACCAGCTCAGGTGGCTTGACGAGCCCAAATCATAAATACTACGTTGTTTAACTCGCATGCAATTTAAAAATCAAGTTAATATTAGAATCACCCTCTATACACACCGTTAGTTTTTAATTGTTTATAAAATCATAAAATTTTAATTGCCAGTATGTAGTGGAGGGTAAAAGTGCTATCACAACTACTAAGCAGTACTACTAATTGTAAGTTATACGTGAAAACTTTTTAGCGTACATATGTGTGTTGTGTCGAATGCAATGGTACAACACTGACTTTACCCTTGATGCCATCAGGTAGGCGCGCTCAATTCAAATAAACACAAAAATATTTATAAAATCCATGCTGCACAAGGAAAATAACATAAATATTTGGGGTGGTTGGTCATAAACTGTTAGTATAAAACTGGAGTCTGGCGTTTAACTTCATCTTTTTTTTAACAGGAAATAAACCGGCATGCTGGTACGTTGGTGTTCTATTTACGTATACGAGGTACTGAGGGAAGAAGGTGACTTCACAACATCGAACCGACGCTCTATTCTACTCGATTAGTGTCTTATGGAGTTTTATTAATATTTTTGGGTTTGTTTAGTAACACATAGTTAAGGTATATTTGTGAGTAGAAGCGCTGTTAATGGGATAAGTCAAGTTTGCATGGACATTGCATTGATCACGGGCACACAGATGACGCCGTACTTAATGTACCTCGATGATGTTGCGGTTGGTCAGGGACTCGTGCGGTTCGTTGTATTCCGTGTATTTGAGTAACACCTGTAAAGTAGTATATTTTAAATTACTTTTCGCGTTTAGCTCTTGACGGTATTATGTAGATTTGTTTACGAAGTCTACGTTTTCCGCTAGTTGTAGTTGTAGTAGAGTGGCTTTGATTCATTAAAGTAAATTATGAACTCAGATTGGTAATTTTTTTGTTAACCTTTATATGGATTGAGAAAATTTCGAACGATAATTTTAACATATTTTAATTTTATTTAGTCTAAATACCTTCAGTGATAATTGATATAAAATGCTAATTTCATTTCTTTCTCAATATTTTGGATACATTCGTCTAAGAATATTCACTTGCCTTGTCCATATCTGTGCTAGCATATTGGTAGAGTTTGTTGTTTGAGCTAAAGATGATTAGAGCGATCTCGCAGTCGCAGAGTACGCTCAGCTCATATGCCTTCTTCATCACCCCAAATTTACGCTTGTTGAAAGTCACCTGGAAATACCATAAATAAATATAATTAATTTGTATTAATTATTATTTTATTGAATTAAATTAGAGCATTATAAGTATTATTTTATAAAATTACTAATTTTAAAGATTATTTCTCTATATGTTGATATAGAAGAAGGCTTAAAAGTAGAGAACTACTTATCTATATCATTGCATTTAAATATACCTACTAGTGTTCGCTCAGTGGTCGATATTCAACAATAATCATCATTTAAAATTTGAGGAAAACATATATGAATAGAATCCACACTAATATTATAAATGTGAAAGTTTGTGAGTATGGCTTTATGTTTGTTACTCTTTGAACGACTGAAGAGATCTGGATGAAATTTGGCACAGAGATAGATTATAGTCTGGAATAACACATAGGCTACTTTTTATCCGGGAAAAATATATGGTTACCGTGGGATAGGTTTGATTTGTCTTCCTAGAGGGGTGAACCGCTAATTTACCTATAAAGGTATATAATTAGAAAGAATATCGGTTGACAAACAGAGGAGAACAAGGTACTGAACTGTTTTATATATTGGTAATATAGAACTATATTTAACTGCCTCGGTGGTGTAGTGGCTAGCATGTACAGCTGCACACTCGGAGGTCCTGGGTTCGAGTCCCGGGTCGGGCCAAGTTTAGTTATTGAGTCTTTCTGTATAGTAAGTCTCAGTAACAGCCCGGAGTTGGGAAGTTGGGGGTGTTTCACCCCCGTGCCTCGGAGAACACGTAAAGCCGTCGGTCCTGCGCCTTAACTCTCACTGGTCGTGTCGAGCAGTCGTCCCACCGGAGTATGAGAGTAACAGGAATAGAGAGTGCACGTTGTGTCTGCGCGTACACTTGTGCACTATAATATCTCCTGCGCAGTTGGCCAGTCTCAATGAAATTGGCCGCCGTGGCCGGAATCGAATAGGAGAACATCATCAATATAGTACTAAGAACATACACATTTATTTTTTATATAGACTTCAATGATTGAATAATTATCTAAAAGAATACAGACTCTACATGAATTTCAATTAAATTTATTATTTCATTATCTTTTTTGCTAGCAAAGTAGTTAAACTTTACGAACATATAATTTCTTCGTAATGTGGCGTATTGCATAGTAAAACTTTTAGTCGTAATACTCTTTATTGGTTGTTTGAGTAATATTTTTTAATTTACAAAAGAGTTTAAATTAAGCAATTAATGATAATGATTGCAAGCTTGCAATTAAAGAAGCAAGGTAGGAACGAAACCGAGCGAAGCGAGGGTGAGTCGCTAATTTTAAATATGTTTATAAAACACATTATTATATTTCACATTAAACGATTTGTAATTCCAAATTATTATTATAAGAAAAATAATAAGCAGGAAGCGAAATGAGGACAATGTAGCATATATACATTGTTAATGTGTGTAGTTCACAGTGTGAACTGTTCGCTACAAAGAAATACTGTGTTGATATTCTAAACAGTACAGAAAGTCATCTCGTTCAATTTATTAGTTTATGATTATGTATTAATAAGCTTAATCATTAAAAAGGTATTAGCGAAAAATACGTAGAGATATTTTTTTTATCAGATACATATAAAAAATCGTCAGCGTTTTGGTAAAAATTATTGAAGTAAATAGTGTAATATTTTTAAATATAGGTTGTTTTGGTAAATTTTAAATATTTCATGTTTCATATTATATTTTAAATACTTTTTAATTATATAAAATACAATCCTCAACTCCATCTCAATTTCATTTCCTGTTTATCAGAAAAAAAACAATGTTATCGTAATGATATGTCAATGAAATAAAAAATATATCTCAAAAGTAAAGTAAATCATTATTAACCACTTTAAACTTTAATAATTAAATATAAAATATATTAACATATTAATATTTTTTTATCTCAATGTTACTACTATAATAAAGCCATATTAAAAATTATGTAGAGCACTGTCACCTACATTCTAACTTAGCGCAAAAAAGAGTAAATTGACCTTCGTAAACTTGCATTACAGCCGTCTGAGCTCTCCCACTAAACCAGTTAGCTGTGATCCCCTCCCACCATAACATTTAAATGATTTACTTAGCATAGAAGAAGCTTTATAGCTCCAAAGAGACTGGACGAGTGTGTGTAGTTGTATAATTAATAAATTACAAGCGGGAACGGTCATTGTCCTTTGCGATAATATTTGCAGCGAGTTCTTCTGATAGGCCCATCTGTTGGGTCAGAACACTAAGGTCATTTCACCCTTTCACAACCTTGTATTCAATTTACATGGATGTTAATAAAGTTTTAAGTAATAAACCGCTCAATCAGTAATTATATTATGTAAACTTACTCTGAATTGGGTGTAGACTCAAGTTTTTGCTTACGGTTACACTTATATAAAACATATAATAAACTAGCATTGCCCGCGGCGCCGCCCGCGTTTGGATGACCAAAAACCAAATTCTTAGGTTTTACATATTAGTATACTCTTACAATGCAGTTTTTGTTTTTGTTCTCAGAGATGGGATATTTTTCCGCGGTAAAAAGTATTCTATATGTTGACCTGGATAACCAGCTATCACCTTACCAAATTTCATCAAAACCCCCCCAGTGGTTTTTCCGTGATGCGGTAACAGACAGGCAAAAATTCTAAAAACTATAGATTCGGCCTCTGTATCATTAATAATGTCTATTTCAATAAGAATTCCCAAAAAATATTTAATGTACAGATTCGGCTTAGTTACAATTTTATTATATGTATAGATTTAAACGATTGCGTCGTAATTCTACCTCACGCATCGTAATACTTTAGTCGTACAAATTGTACCTATGTATACCTACTATTATTATGGCGTCGCAAACATGATTTTATTTTATGTTTTGAATCAAACTAAAATATACTACCGAATTTTTCCGTCTATAACAAACATTTTATTGTACGCCATTTCTATTGCGTAGATGTATTGCTACGATAGTGTAGCACGTTCGAGCATGCTGTGGGTTCGATTACCATTACCAATAAGTAAAGAAGTATAAAATTGAAATTGTTTATAACCGACTACTAAGCTATATGATATAAAATTTAATGTTTACTAATATTATAAAGAGTTAAGTTTGTAAGCTTGTGACGTTGTAGGGGGAATCTCTAAATCTGCTGAATCGATTTAGATGTGGTAAGAAGATAGTTTGAGACCCTGGGGAGGATATAGGATACTTTTTATCCCGGAAATCATCCCTTAGGAGGTGAAAATTTTATGTAATTTATTACATTCTTTTGAATAATAAGTAATTATTTAGTTTCATAAGAAAAATGAGACTGTGATTTTAAACAAGTAGAAGCAAGTTTGTCATTGACATTGCTACTAGTCCTGCGTTCAATGTTGTATCATCTCCATTGTCTGTATTTAAATTGGCTTAACTACAATTTAACTCATAATAACAAGTACCTACAATTACATATATCATACATATAATATGAAAAATGTTATAAACTGTGTCCACGAGAATAATATGTGATATATTTATATGCTTTTAGCTTCGTTGAAAATTTTAAACACTTCTTATTAATTATATCTAAGTAAGCAGCGAATCGATCAATAATTATATCTTTGTATTCATTCTTATTAATTTTATATTCTTCATGCAACTTATTCAGAAAAGATCTAGATTTACTTTGTACTTTATTCTTGTACATGAAATGTGTTAAACGTGTGAAACTTATTTATATCTATAAAATTACTGGTTCTAACTCATTCGCTCTGAAGGGCCAAAATTTGACAACTAATGAAAGGTTTTACAAGACCTCCTAAAAAATCTTAGTCTAATGTAAAACTCAAACGCATGTACTTAACGCACAAAGAGTTTTCTTGTAAAGTAAAAGACTCGATTGGGTTTAATTTATATGTTATATGCATTATACATACAATGCAGATCACCTTCGCTTCGCTCGGTTTCGCCTCTACAAAATCAAAACTAAGTCTATCCCACGGGAACCGTACATTTTTCCGGGATAAAAAGCAGTCTATGTTTTATTCTGATATAAGAGCTATATTATTGTAAAGTTTTTTTTAAATCCATTCAATAGTTTTTGAGTGAAAGAGTAACAGACATCCATACATCCATACATCGTCACAAACTTTCGCAATTATACTATTAGTAAGATTAAGAAATAATTCTGACCTGTCGATTCCGTTCATCCGTGATCCGTGATATTTGTATTTTCTTCCGACCCATGGTGGCAGCAATCTTGGAGGGGGTTTAAGGAGCGGGGGGAGAACAACAGTGGCCGGGCGGCGGGCTGCTACTACGGACGTCAACAGCTATCTGTAAACAAGAAGGCTAAACGTCAATGAAAGCAGAAAAAAAATCGAAGTAAACAACCTTACGCATAAAAAGAAAAACGTGAAATATCAAAAACAAAAAGCTTTAAATTGAAAACTCAAAAAATGGTCAGTTTTTTTGAAAACAATTACATAAATATTTTTGATAAACAACAAGTTTCATATTTCCTGGTTGCACAACTCAAAATAATTCAGATTTATCCTCGACATTTTGGATTTAACTTTTAAAAAAAAACACGGTACCGAAAAGGCTAGTTGTAATTTGAAGAGTCTAAATGATTCACTTACATAGGGATTGTCACTGTTCACATATCCATAATGGATCACTACATAGATTTGCATAATGACCCCTACTGTCAGCCCCTATGACCTCGATTTTTCCTAATCGACAAGCGATTTCTGACAAAGTAGGCTTTGATGAGAGCACGTATATGTGACACACTACGTATAGTATGTCACATTGGTGGTTTTTATATAAAATATATCAAAAACCTGGAGATTATCACGTTATTTTTTGTTTTTGAGGAATTTTATTACTTATTAATTAGATGAACAAATAATCAATTAAAACATTTTTAACAAAACAAATATTATTTAGAACTAACGTGTTAATAATTTCCTCATACAGTACATATATCATATTGTACCTACATACATGTTTCTTGCACTGGGTTATTGAATAAAGCAAGTTAGGTTAATATATATATATATATATATATATATATATATATATATATATATATATATATATATATATATATATATATTTACTTTTAGTATTTTGAGTGTATGCTGTTATTTTCTATTGTACTGATTGACACAAAATTTATGTTTTTACAACACTACCAAAAATCCACTTGATAATGAAATAGCGCGTTATAAAAATCTTGATTTATAGAATAACTAAAATATATACCATCTTATTTGCCAAGTTAACGATATAAGGGCAAAAGTACTATTAAAAGATTGGTAGGTAGGTACTACCATAAAAATATATGAAATATATGTACATATATGCATATATTAATATATCAGAAGAGGACAATGCTTAAAATATTATTTACGGTTTCCACAGCATATAGTTCTGTTAGTTAAAAGTCATCCAGTAGTTTTTATTGCTTTTGTATTTTCCTGTAGTTCTCACTCGTGCCCAGTTTCCCCTATTGTGCATGTGTGCGTTACGCATTACGCTGCAAGCACCCACTCATGCACACGCTCGTCTGTGGGGTACAGGGTGAGTAGGGGAGGGTGTCAGGTCACTGTGTTTATAGGTGGCTTGTTACGTGGCATTTACGTTTAATCAGGCATTATCAAACGCTTTATATGAGTGACGGTAAATCTTAGTTAATGTGCCACAATTGTATAATTCTTTGTTGCGAGGTCAAATTGTAAATCGCGTTTAAATAAAAAAGGGAAATTTAATTTTAGTTTTCCATAGACTACAAGGTTGTTATTTAATTACTTTATATTTTCTTTGTAGTTATTTTTTTTATATAGTTTGTTTTTTGGCACGTGTTATTTTTGAATGAAATCAGCATCATTATAGCAAGTTGTTGTTGTAATATATATATATATTTATATAATAACTATATGTATGTAACCTTTGAGACGCCTAAAACCTTAGTCTCTCCCGTGACCATGATTCAGCATTCAAAACGTGGGGAACCAAAAATCAAAATAAATCCGCGAAGAAATCCGAACAGATAGTTTTATTTAATATCTAATAAAATCTAAGAAGATATTATTATATATTTTAAAAAAGTTCAGATGAACTTTTGTCATGAATCGCTCTTTGGCTTTCCTTTTATACGGCCCATTACGTTTTTCTTTAAAATTCAATAAAGTCATAAAGCGTTAAGTGACTTTGCGGAAAATGAGAGTATTTTTTGCTTAAATCAACCATTCCTGAAAGCAATGAATCATTCACAATAACAGAGCAAAGTTAAAATTAATTATCCGTGATAATATTAATATTATATTTTTTTGTTCAGTATCATTACTTTGCGCTGAACTTTGTGTAATGTTCGGAATATGGCTTATATATTTTTCTATATGGCTTATATAGTTAAATGGATTCTGATAGAGCATTTTATAGCAATACTTTAAAATATTAAGTACTAGCGGCTCACCTTCGCTTCCCAGGTACATTTTAACGATTAGTATGGAATAGATTATATATATGTATGACGAGTTCTTGGGGGTTGTATGTTTGTAACGTTTTTTTCTGGTGGGAATGCGACAATCTCTCGCGATAAAAAGTAGCCTATGTCACTCTCCAGCCCTCCAACTATCTTCATATAAAAAATCACGGCAGTCCGTCACTCTGTTTCGACGTGAAAGAAAGACAAACAAAGACTTTTGGAATTATAATATTAAAGTATGGAATATATATCTAACTTTCATATTTCTAGATTGATGATAAAAGATATAATTCAATTCAAATATCTTACTTGTAGAATAAATAGAAATAAGGGCCTAGGTGCATAGCAAGCAGTGGCTGTATCTGAACAAATATTATAAATGTGAAAGTAACTTTGTCTGTCTATTGCCTTTTCACGCTTAATCGCTGAACCGATTTAGATTAAATTTGGTATGGAGATAGTTTGAGACCCTGGGAAGGACATAGGATAGTTTTTAATAGTTTATATCCCGGAAATCATCCCTTATGGGCGTGGAAGTTTGTATGGGGAATCAATCATTTCTCAAGTAAGGAATATAATATTTTTTATTTTATAAAATACTTACCTACTTTTCTATTCCTACGAATGTACTATAAATAATAAATACATATGCCCCGAACCCGAGCGAGGCGAGAGTGAGTCGCTAGTAATATAATAAATGTTTATTGTTATAATGTGTAGTGTAATGGTGAATGAATACTCTTTGTAAACAAACTACTTTTTAAACTTTTTTACTTCTTTTCTGTTTCTTCGAATGTGGAAATTGGGTCACGCCATGAGATTGCGTCATCCGGAAGGTTAGTTAGTCAACTTGCAGAAAGAGTACTTTTAGCTAAGTTTTCATTCGCTTAAGATGAAAAAAATGATTATTTTCTAACATATTTGTTATTATAATGCCAAATCATCTAATATTTCTATTTTTTACGAAACATTTCTATAATAATTCTAAATATATTTATATTTTATTTATTAACATGAACCAAGTTATATTTTAGTGAATAAATCGCTGAAGTAAGCTAGCGTGGGTTGGTGTAAGAACGCCTACGCGCATAAAGGACGTGACGTAAATTATATATAACTACTATATAATATATTAATAGATGGTTATATATAAAAATAGAGTTAAATGATGTTTTATTGTAACTATCATTAGTAGTTCATATATTTATACCTATTCATTGAAATAATATCACGTATAAAATATTATACCTATTTGCTTCTATGACACAACCGCGCTGTGGTGTCTAGTGTAGAGTTAGCATTTAATCTAATATTGTAACACAATTATATGAGTATTACACAAGTCCCAGTCAAGGACTAGGGCATTCGATAAGTTATCTAACATTTTTACTGTCTAAAGAAAGAAATAATGTAGGTGAAACTGACAATAAAAATAAGATAATATGATTGTTGTCATGACATGCCATTTTCTTTGTTTATGCGTTTTTGTACTTGAACTGGTGTCAAAAGGTTTCAGAGGATGTAACTTGTATATAATTTGTACAGAGTACTAAAATGTTGAATTGAGAATCAACTCAATAATTAATTCTTCTTCATGACTAAATCGAATAATTGATTATTATTGTTTATTAAAATATAAATCGATATTGACCCTTCTACAATTTTTTATTTAAGTTATAAATGTTGATGTAGCTGTTATTTCAATTCACTTTAGTTCCTTTGTTTCCTTGCCTTTCATTACACGTTCGGCTCAAAGGTTTTGTGTGAAAATCCCGTCTGCTTGTGACAGGTCAGTTGATCGAGTTCTTTCAACGTATATTCGTATATTTACTGATAATAACTTCGGATATTTGTTTTGGATGTTGTTATGGGCGATAGAAAAATGTATGTGTATTTAAAAAATAAAAATAAAAAAAGAAACAATACCTACTTTATATATAATATGAATTAATGTGTCTAATATAATATTCTGATTTCTAACTGATAATTATCAATTCATGGCTGCTAAAATGATAAGCGAAACAACCTTATTGTAATATTTACGAGGCTTACATATTATAGTACTAATATTTATTTATAAATGATAACTTTCATTTGTTTGCTAAATCTTTGTTTGAAAACCTAGATACTGCATCACAAATAAATCCTACTACATCATTTCTTAACACCTTTCATGAACACATGTATTATCTCCCCACGCTACCCTAGCCGCGTGACCTTGTCGGGGAAGGGGCAAGGGAGAAGGGCACCCACGCTGTTTCTAGAAACGTCCTAATACCAGCTTTACCACTCAACAATACGATCTATTGGCAAGCTTTCAATGTCCTGAATCCCAGTATACAATAAATCGAAACTCGATTATAGTCGTATAGGTACAGGGAAGATATTATCGCATGTTTGTCAGCGTTGGTGTCATTGTGGAGCAATCCATTAGTCATATGTAATTTAGTTTCAGAGGTGCTTTATTGTGTTTCTCTACAGTAGATATTTGCTGAAATCATTTAAAAATCGAAAAGGTTTAATCATGGTCATTAACAGGAACAGGTTAAAGTTGATTTTATTATTATTTTAAACAAGGAGGTATACATAGAAGTTAAATAAATTCAAATGTACTTTTAAGGCATTCAAAAAAGCAGTATCGAAATTTAAAATGATTAAATATTTATTGGGTCTTAAACATTTTGGAATTTATATTTAATTATACTAATTAAATGTGTAAAACACTTACTCATATAAATAACACTTGTCAGTC